GTGCGGCCCGGGTTCGATCCTCAGCACCACATACCAACAAAGATGTTGTGTCCGCCGAGAACTAAAAAATAAATATTAAAAAAAAAATTCTCTCTCTCTGTCTCTCTCTCTCTCCTCTCTCACTCTCTCTTTAAAAAAAAAAATTTTAAAAAAAAATATATACCAAGCGCTAAAAGATAATGTATGTCAACCAAGAATCTTATATCCAGCAAAATAAAGCTTCAAATTTGATGATAAAATAAAAACCTTCCATGATAAACAAAAGCTAAAGAATTTACAGAAAGCTGCACTACAGAACATTCTTGGCAAAATATTCCATGAGAAGGAAATGAAAATAACTATGAAAATCTGCAAAGGGAAGAACTACAGTAAAAGAAAAGCCAACCAATGAAGAAACCAAGTCAAGCTAAATACCAAAAATAAACAAAAATGACCGGTAACTCAAATCATATCTCAATAATAACCCTAAATGTTAATGGCTTAAACTCACCAATCAAAAGACATAGGCTGGTAGAATGGATTTCAAAAAAGACCCAACAATATGCTGCCTCCAAGAAACTCATCTTATAGGAAAAGAAGCCCACACACTGAAAGTAAAAGGTTGAGATAAAATATACAATTCACATGGTCTATGTAAGCAAGCAAGGATTTCCATCCTCATATCAAATAAAGTAGACTTCAAGCCAAAGTTAATAAAAGGAATAAAGATGGACATTTCATACTGCTTAAGGGAAACATACATCAACAAGACATAACAGTTATAAATATATATGCCCCAAACAATGGAGCATCTACATTCATCAATCAAACTCTTCTCAAGTTCAAGAGTCAAATAGATCACAACACAATAATTCTGGGTGACTTTAACATACCTCTTTCACTACTGGATAGATCCACCAAACAAAAGCTAAACAAAGAAACTATAAACTCAATAATACAATCAATAATTTAGACTTAACAGACATATATAGACTATTTTATCCATCAATGAGCAGATACACTTTCTTCTCAGCAGCATGTGGATCCTTCTCTAAAATAGACCATATGTTATGCCACAGGACAAATCTTAGTAAATACAAAAATGCAGAGATACTACCCTTCATTCTATCATACCACAATGGAATGAAATTAGAAATCAATGATAAAATAAAAAATAAAAACTACTCCAACACCTGGAGACTAAATAATATGCTATTGAATGAACAATGGGTTGCAAAAGATATCAAGGAAGAGATTAAAAAATTCTTAGAGGTAAATGAGAATACCAATACAACATATTGAAATCTCTGGGATACTACGAAGGCAATGCTAAGAGGAAAGTTCATTGCATGAAGTTCATAGAAGAAAAAGTCAACAAATAAATTACCTAACACTACATTTCAAAGCCCTAGAAAGGGAAGAACAAATCAACCCAAAGCAGTAGAAAACAGGAAATAATTAAAACCAAAGCTGAAATCAATGAAATTGAAACAAAAGAAACAATTGAAAAAATTGACAAAAAAGTTGATTCTTTGAAAAAATAAATAAAATTGAGAAACCATCGGCCATTCTAACAAAGAGAAGAAGAGAGATAACTCAAATTATTAACATCCATGATGAAAAAAGATATATTATGATGGACACTATAGAAATACAGAAGATAATTAGAAATTATTTTGAAAATTTGTACTCCAATAAAATAGAAAATATCAAAGACATTGACAAATTTCTAGAGGCATATGATATTCCTAAACTAAATCAGGATGATATACACAATTTAAACAGATCAATTTCAAGCAAGGAAATAGAGGTCACCATCAGAAGCCTACCAACCAAGAATAGCCCAGGACTGGACAGATACACAGCTTAGTTCTACAAAACCTTTAAAGAAGAACTAACACCAATACTTCTCAAGTAGGGCTTATCCCAGGGATGCAAGGTTAGTGCAACATATGGAAATCAATAAATATAATTCATCACATCAATAGACTCAAAGATAAAATTCATATGATCATTTCAATAGATGTTGAGAAAGTATTTGCTAAAATACAGCATCCCTTCATGTTCAAAACACTAGAAAAACTAGGGATAACAGAAACATACCTCAACATTGTAAAGGATATCTTTGCTAAGCCCCAGGCTAACATCATTCTAAATGGAGAAAAATTGAAAACATTCCCTCTAAAACCTGGAACAAGACATGGATACCCTCTGTCACCACTTCTCTTTAACATAATTCTTGAAACTCTAGCCCAAGCAATCAGACAGACGAAAGAAATTATAGGGATACAGATAGGCAAAGAAGAACTCAAATTATCACTATTTGAAGATGATATGATTCTAAACCTATAAGACCCAAAACATTGTACCAGTAATCTCCTAGAACTAATAAATGAATTCAGCAAAGTTCCTGGATATAAAATCAACACCCATCAATCAAAGACATTTCTGTACATCAGTGACAAATCTGTTGAAAGGGAAACTAGAAAAACCACCCCACCTATCTCAAAATAAATTTAAAAAAATATTTGAGAATAAATTTAACAAAAGAGGTGAAAGAACTCTACAATGAAAACTACAACACGTCAGAGAAAGAAATTAAAGAAGACCTTAGAATATGGAAGGATCTATCTTGTTTTCAGGTAGGCAGAATTAATATTGTCAAAATGACCATACTACCAAAAGCACTATACAGATTCAGTGCAATCCCAATCAAAATCCCAATGCCATTCCTTATAGAAATATAAAAAGCAATCATGAAATTCATCTGGAAAAGTGTAAGAGATCCAGAACAGCCAAAGCAATCCTTAGCAAGAAGAATGAAGCTGGTGGCCTTACTATTCCAGACTTAAAACTACACTACAGAGCAATAGTAACAAAAACAGCATGGTATTGGCATCAAAATAGACCTGTAGATCAATAGTACAGAATAGAGAACACAGAGTCTAACCCCCAAACTACTGTTATCTTATATTAGACAAAGGCACCAAAAACGTACATTGGAGAAAAGACAGCCTCTTCAACAAATGGTGCTGGGAAATCCACGTGTAATAAAATGAAATTAAACCTCTATCTGTCACCATCCACAAAACTCAACTCAAAGTGGATTAAGGACCTAGGAATTAAACCAGAGACCTTGTGCCTAATGGAAGAAAAACTAGGCCCAAATCTCCATCATGTCGGATTAGTCCCCAACTTTCTGTGGTGCAAGAATTAAAACCAAGAATCAATAAATGGGATGGATTTAAATTAAAAACTTCTTCTTAGCAAAAGAAACAATCAGAATGGAAGAAATCAAAGAAAGATTCTACAGAAAATTCTACAGAATGGGAGCAAATCTTTACCACAAGCATATCAGGTAGAGCACTAATCTCTAGGGTATATAAAGCACTCAAAAACCTTAACACCAAAAAAAAAAACAAACAAACCAATCAATAAATGGGCCAAGGAACTGAACAGACACTTCTCAGAAGAGGATATATGATCAATCAACAAACACATGAGAAAATATCCAGCATCTCTAGCAATTAGAGAAATGTAAATCAAAACTACTCTAAGATTTCATCTCACTCCAGTCAGAATGGCAGTTATCAAGAAATACAAACAATAAGTGTTGACGAGGATGTGGGGAAAAAGGCACACTCATACATTGCTGGTGGGACTGCAAATTGGTGCAGCCATTCTGGAAAGCAGTATGAAGATTCCTCAGACAATTGGGAATGGAACCAATATTTGACCCAGCTATCCTATTCCTCAGTTTATATCCAAGAGATTTAAAAACAGCATACTACAGGGACACAGCCATATCAATGTTTATAGCAGCACAATTCACAATAGCTAAATTATGGAACCAACCTAGATGCCCTTCAGTAGATGAATGGATAGGGAAACTTTGGTATATATATACAATGGGACATTATTCAGCATTAAAAGAGAATGAAATTATGGCATTTACAGGTAAATGGATGAAGTTGGAGAATATAATGCTAAGTGAAGCAAGCCAATCCTAAAAAACCAAAAGCCAAATGTCTTCTTTTATATGAGGATGCTGACTCATAACGGCAATGGCGGGGAGAGCATGGGAGGAATGGAGGAACTTTAGATAGGGCAAGGCGGGGAGGGGAAAGAAAGGGGCAAGTGGGTAAGAATGATGGTGGAATGAGTTAGACATCATTACCCTAAATACATGTATGAAGATGTGAATGGTGTGAAAATATTTTGTGTACAATCAGTGACTTGAAAAATTGTGCTCTATATGTGTAATATGAAATGAATTGCATTCTGCCATCATGTATTACAAATCAGAATATATGAATAATTTACATTAAAAAAAGAGAAAGGAGTATGAAGGTACTGAAGAGAATGGGGAGGATCCAGGTCCATGAGGACCCTCAGACACCAAATTTGGAGTTTGAACTTTATCTCAAAAGTTCTGAGAAGCCAAGAAAGACCTAAAGTTAGCCTGAGAGCTACACCATCAGATTTGCCCTGTAGATTAACACACCAGAGAAAGTAGGGCAGGTGACAGTAGGGGGGGCCAACAGAACCCTTGGTGTCATATAAAAGGAGGATAAGTATGAAAGCAAGGCCCCAAGGCTTCAGGGGGTCCTTGCTGCAGGGCTACCCTACGCCATGCAAGACACAGGCTCCAAGTGGTGGCCTTCATGATCTAGAAACCAACAAACACAGGCCCTGTGTCTGGGAATCTCCTTTGTTACTATGCAACATTCACCTTGCTGACTTTAAATGGTCTCTCCTGGGTGAGCTCTTTGTCAAACTGTTTATCCCAGTTTCCTTTGAAGTAGATGGCATTCACGAGAACCAGTTTAGTGTCTGTATTCAATGAACCTGGAGACAGCAACTCTGCAATTTTATCTGAAAGGAAAAATTAAAGAACCAGTTAGCTAAGAGTTTTCTGATGGGTGCATCAGTGATGATACAGAGAGGGGCCCACCTCCTCAAATGGTCAAGCGCAGAGATAAAGGATCACATATGCCCCAAATAATAAAAACAGATATTTTTCATCAAAACAAAGCAACAGTCCTGGCACCAAGAAAAAAAAAAAACTTTTAAGTTCTGGCAAGAAAAATACCATCATTTGAATAAAACATAAAGTGAACAAGTAGATATCAGTAAGTGAATTAAAGGACTGTTCAAAAAAAAGGATTATAAATTTAAACTTTTGAGGGGCCAGATATGTTTGCCCTTATTTAAACACTGCATTACACCACACACACACACACACACAACACACACACACACACATGTATGTATTGAAGCATAACAAACAGTTTTGTTATTATTTTTAGTACAATTTTTAACAATACTATTTTTATCAACTAAAAATATTTAAATTTTTAAAAAGATGACTGGTTACAAGATGCTCTTTACAAATGTAAAAGCACAGTTTACCCAGACATGGTGGTACATGCCTATAATCCTACTGGCTTGGGAGGCTGAGGCAGAAGGACTGTAATTTCAAAGCCAGCCTCAGCAACGTAGGTCCTAAGCAACTTAGAGAGACCTTCTCTCTAAATAAAATATTTTTAAAAGGACTGGGGATTTGGCTCAGTGGTTAAGCACCCCTGGGTTCAAAGCCTGGTACCAAAATTTTTTTTTTTAATTTTACATTAACTTACATTAAAAACCACAAGTAAATGAAGATACTGCTAAGCAACTTGCAATAATGCATGAAAACTGTGGAGCATGAGCCCACACTACAGAGGACACAGCTGAGACCTGTCATGTGAATTTTTCCTTTGGTGAAAAGAAAGAACAGCCAACAACAAAAAAAATTTAAGTGTGGATTGCTGACTACTGGAAAACATCATGGATACACTGAGAACAGCAGAGAGAAGAAGCTAGAGAAAATGTCATCCATTGACAGTATTTCAGCAGCAGATTTTAAAGTTATTTCAAGAACAAAAATATCATTCTTCATATTTGACAATCTTGTTAAGGAACTGAAAATAAGACTGATTAAAATACTTAAAAATAGAACAACAGGATGAGACTGTAGCTGAGTGGAATAGCATCTGCTCAGCATGCACAAGGCCAAGGGTTGGATTCCCAGCACTGCAAACAAAGCAAAAACAACCCCATCATCAACAGAAACAACAAATAAAAACTATGTTTTTACCTTCTGTTTTTTTAGCTACCCAGGTGTTTATGTGTTTTCTGGACTCCTCTGTAGCATTCAGAAAGTCAAGCTCTTCCATCTCTGCTTGGTAGAATTTCTGGCAGGAATCTTTAAAAGACTAAATCAGAACGATTTAGTTGTGATTTTGCATGGTCCCAAAAATAATTAACACCAACAGTGTACTTCTTTAATGTACCAAAGCACAAAAATCAAAAATGTGCAGATTTAAAGATGTAATTTACAAATAAATATGTAGAATGAACCTAAAATCCACCTTCTCAGTTCTTGGCCATCTTTAAATGGCCCAAGTATCAAATAAACTTCATTGCATAAAGATGGCTGGATCTTTATGGGACTTGCTAAGCCTCAAGAGGGAGGAAGCTGGGATACAGTAACTGTGGAGAGAGTGCTAACCCAGCAAGAGCTCAGACACCACTGCTCTCTAGAATGAGAGAGGCTGAACACAGAAAGTAGAACACAGGAAAGCAAGCCATGATGATGACGATGATGATGAAGACAACACTGAAGTAGATCTGAACACGCTGACAATTGAAGAACAAAAGAAAAAAATTACAAAACAACATATGTTGGATAAAGGCACAAATGCAGGAAAAATTACTACAAAACAAAATTTCTACATATGCAGGAAGAACATATCAAATCCACAAAAGCTCTAATTCTGGGAGGGATGATGGGTTGTGGGAAAGAGGTTGATGAGGGCTCTTCCTTTGCTGGCCCTATTGCATTCTGCACAAAAAATATACTCATGTGTGACTTGAGTAGTTTTCTGATTTTTTAAATGAAAAGGTGTGAACAAATACATGAGTAACCAGAAACCTGAGTGAATTCACAGCCCAGGCTCTTTCAGCTGCACTACGAATCCCCCTCCTCCCCACCACCTTGCTTCATCAAAAGCAGCGAGTATGACTTACTGAGAGGAAATCATAAGACTTTTCTCCAAAGAGCCTGTTGGCTGTTCTAAGCAAGTACTGTGTGTCCGTCTTGTTCACTTCAGTGAGAAGGGACTGGAAGCCCTGGTGGACATCTCCACCTCCACTGCTGCTGCTTTTATTTAAAGAAAGTACCTGAAATCAGAAACACAACAAAAACACACCATTGCAGTAGGCACTGACTACAGGGAACAAGCAAACTATACTAAACTTGGCCTAAGAACTGTGCAGATTCTTACCACCAACCAATTAGAGACAAAAAGTATATTGAAAGCTCATTCTTCAGTGTCCCTTCCAGGTTCCTTCTCTGTATCCTGTCAGTATTGGTCTGAGCAGAAATGGCTCTCCACAATGCAGGTTCTTTGTAGCTATAGCCTAGCTGGAGACGGGGCTACCAGCCAGACCTCTCATCTCTGTGAACATAGACTGCTCCTAAAAGTTGTAAGGTACAGTTTTTCCCAGCCTTAGGTCTGGAATGGCTCTGACCAACAGAATTCAGCAGAAGCAATGCTGTCCAGGCCTGAGCATTAAAAACCCTAGCAGCTGTCCCATTCACTCTTTTGTACCCTGCTGCCATGATGGAAGGAAGTCCAAGCTATCCCCTTGGAGGATTTGCTACACACAGGCTGAGTTGCCTGGAAGAGAACCAAGATGCCAGAAGTGAAAGAAGACTCCAGGGACCTTGCAATCCAGCTGCCCATTGCAATAGTAGCATGAATGACCCCAACTGGCTTATATAACAGGGAGCATTAAGAACTGCCTGTGAGGCCACCGAATCTGAAAAACAATCAACCATTATTATATCTAGCCAGTAAGTTTGGGGATGGTTTGTTTTGCACCAACAGATAACACATGCAGCAATGCAGAAGTGTTCTAACATAATGAAAATATAAAAAACGTGGTACTGGATTTGGACATGGCAGTTGGCAGAGGCTGGAGGTATAGGGATGAAATTACTACTGCAGACTACAGAAACAGGGAACTTGTGATATGGTAGACACTGCTGGAAATAAAATGTTCACCTGCAGCACGAAGTAAGATAGGGCACGTTCCCAACTCCCACATCTACCTAAGATGCCCGGGAAGCATGTACCTTCCTTTTAGCTGCCTAAGTTATAGAGTATGGGAAGAGAGAGATGAGCCAAAGAAAAAAATTGTTCCATTTTCAAGCAGAATTTCAAGGAACTATTTCTAACCCAGGTCTTGATGGGTAGAACATAAAGGTGTTTCTTATCTCCGAGCTCCCTCTCCATTTGACAAAATGATTCTCAACATAAGAAATGACCTCAGGGTAGAGCTCAAATACATGGCCTCAGGAGCAAGGTCAAGATCCACTTTGTAAAAACCTTGGGACAACAAAGGTAGCATCTTGTAGACCTCTAGACAAAGGGGTTTCTAAGCAACTCAAGGGCATTGTCCCACAGCATGCTTACTTCCAACCCAATACACAGTCTGTCTCAAACAGGCTTGTGCATTTGGCTTGGTCCAATGCAGCAGGCTATTACTTGAGACCCAGAAATCCTACATCGGTATTAAAGGAGTTATAAAACCTTGTAACTAAAAGGTGAGACAGTTCAAAGTGAAGAGAGGTCCTTGAGCCCCAACTCTCTTTTGGCAGGAGAAAGGCTAAGAGAGAAACAAACATGAAACATGACCCATTTCTTCTGGAAAAGGACGGGAGTTGCCAAGCACTAAGCCCAGAATGCACAGGGGCGTGCCATGGCCTGACATGTGGAGAACCAGGAATGCTTCCCAGGAAACGCAGGTGGAGCCAATCAAGGAATATTCCCACCCTGAGGGCAGAGGAGCCTGGCGCACACACACCTAGCTGGGTTTGGAAATTGCTACAGTTCAGGGGCTGCAATGTGCTCACAGGGGTGCTCAGCAGGGGTGCTTAGCAGGAGTAGCATGTGCTTCTTGTCAACTCTCCATCCACACCCCTCTGATACCCTCTGATGTCCATCCACAGCAATCCCTTTGGGATTTGAAGTGTGGAGAATCAGCTCAATTGACAACTATCAGCATTTACTATTGCTCCCAAAGGACACCAGGTACCTGAGCCATCTGGACTGCGGTGGTTCCCTTTGCCCCCAAGAGGACCATGGCCAGGGCCGAGGAGATGCTGATGGGTGAGTAAAACACATTTCTTGAACTGTCTTCACCCAGCGTTTTCAGAAGGTTTAAGGCAAAGGTGCCACTTGCTTCCAACAGAGGATCCATGATGGCAAGCCTGGAACGATGGACTTCAGATCAGTATCACATGAACACAGGCTCACAGGCCAACTGCACTTTCCCTCCCGTTAACTCCACTGCTGCTGTGGTGCAATAAGCAAACAGAAGCACACAGAACTCTGAGGGTCTCTTTTGAGGTCTCAAGATCATTTTATGTCCTAATATTCAATGAAAAAGAAGAGTAAAATTTAATACTATGATCCTATTTTGTGAAGACCTGTGCATGGGCAAAGTATAGATGGGACACATGCACCACGTTACTGCAGTCATTTCCTGGACTGGGTAAGAGAAAAGGTGATTAACTTTGGCTTCCACATCTGTATTCTTTGTGTGTTGTAAGAGCTTATTGTGTCATTTAATTTGAAAACCATTTAAAATTATAAATTCACTTGCAAAGTTAAAAAGACATGACACACAAGTGTTTTTATAATTTGGGAGCGTTCCCCATTTTAGGGAAATCTAAAGCCTTAAAATAAATATGGGAAATAAAACCACATGAGACCCTTCTCTCCTCTGAATCAAATACCCACCCATCACCCCCAACAAATGAGGGTGCACATACAGGCATGCTCAACAGGACACCACTTAACCCTCAGTTCTCCTTCTAGGAAACCTATGCATGGGACAATATCTGTGGTCCACTGAACAAGGTCCCCAGACACATCCAGGTCCTAATCCCTGGAACCTGTGAAATTTCCCTCATGTGGCAAAAGAGAATTTGCTGCTGTGATTAAGAATGGACCATTCAGGTGGCACCCAAATAGAGTCACATGTAGTTTATAAAAGGGGTTGTCAACATGAGTAAAAAAAAAAGAGAGAGAGAGAGAGAGAGAGAGAGAGAGAGGGAGAGGCTCTCTAGAACAAAAGATTTCCATTCAGAATAGAAAAGGGTTGCAACCCTGGTGGGAAGACTATGAAAATCAAAGATGCATGGGAGTAAGGGTAGGGAGGATGAGACCAAGAGAGAACTTGTAATGACAAATAAGAGCCTAAGCAGCCAGGCGCTGTGGTTCATACCTGTAATCCCAGTGGCTTGGGAGGTTGAGGCAGGAGGATTGCAAGTTTAAAGCCAGTCTCAGAAACCTATCAAGATCCTGACTCAAAATAAAAAATAAAAATAAAATAGACTGGGAATATGGCTCAGAGGTAAAGTGCCCCCAGATACAATCCCTGGTACCAAAAAAAAAAAAAAAAAAAGTCATTGGTCTCAAACACCCTTGCTTTATGGCAACAACTGGGCCTTAGAGGCCCATGTTCAATTTTTCTAGTCCAACAATGGGGAATTGAGGTAGGATAGAAAAACTAAAAGATACGTAGAAAACAGACAAAAGGAAGGACATGGAGAGTGTCATTTTAATCTGAAAGTCTCATGCCTTATGCCAAAGTTCTGCATGTGTTTCTTCCCAGGTCTGTCACTCCCCAAGCCAATTGAGCTAATTTCACTCCCAAATTTCCAGGCAATCTATCAATCTTTCAGTTGATGGAAATTCATCCACTATGAAAATTACCTTGTGCACTGTTGATTGTCTTACGTAAGAAACAGATTAAGCAAAGTGAGAGACAATATTTTAAGAAACATACTAGGGTACTTCCAATGTGACTTACCGGTCACTTAGCAGAGATCATATCAGTCTTAGAATCCTGAGAATTCCAGACCATCATACACCATCTTGTGATCATCACACTGAAGTCCTCCTCACATACCTTCCCATGTCCACCCCTCACCAAATTTCCTTTAAAAAAGCCTGAGAACCCCAAATCATCTCACTCTCAAGATGACTCACATTCCCCCCTGAATGTCTATATTCCTTGCTTTCTTAAATAAATCTCTGCCTCAGACATGTTCTTCAATCCATTTCTGCACATCTATCAAGAACCCTACTGATCCTAAGTTGAGGTCCACCCCTCCAGAAACTCCTTAGACCTCTTCCAGTGACAGTTTAACCTGCATCCTTGTTTCTTTTAATGAAGGAATTGTAACGTACAAAATCTGAATACCAGAGAAGGAGATGAGTACTGGTGCTGATAGAAAATACAGTTGCTGCTCAATTCACAATAGCCAAACTATGGAACCAACCTAGATGCCCTTCAATAAATGAATGGGTAAAGAAACTGTGGTATATATACACAATGGAATATTACTCAGCAATAAAAGAGAATAAAATTATGACATTTGCAGGAAAATGGATGGAGTTAGAGAATATTATGCTAAATGAAGTAAGCCAATCCCCAAAAACCAAAGGCCAATGTTTTCTCTGATAAGTGAATGCTAAACCAAAATTGGGGGGTTGCGCATGCGATGAGTGATGGAACTCTGGATGGGCAAAGGGCAGGGAGGGTGCATGGGGGTAGAAAAGATGGTGAAATGAGACAGACAGCATTACCAGAGGTACATGTATGATTGCATGAATAGTGTGACTTTACCTGAGTTAAGCAGGTCTATAATGAGCTGCACAGGACTTTACCTCCAAAGTTTTGAAGTACCAGTTCATAGCTTCCCTACCTCCAGCTCTGCTGTTAAAAACTTTCCTGACATTCGGACCCCAGCTCCATCTATCTCACAACACCCCGACTCTTTCAAGCTTAGGAAATCTTATCCACATCCCTGATATCCAGAAATGTCCCAGTGATGTGTCCTTCTCTGGACCCAGTTCACTCTTTTTGGTGGAGATTTGGAGGGCCCTTTCAATGTAGCAATTTAAAAATTTCTCCCTTCTACTCAGGAAAAACAAATTAAAGTGCTTTCTCATTTCCTGCAGAATCTCTGTTCTCTGCTTTTTTACCTCCTATTTGTCAGGCACTAACACTCTTGGAATGAACTCATCTAGGACTTTCCAACCTTCTGAATGTCATAGCACACACAAAGAATGATAACTAGTACTATACTTTGGGACAAGACTACTTGCTGTAGAGGTGTGCAGCTCAAATCTCCAGCCACCAGGCTGCCCCCTCCAGCTGCCCTGAGTTGGAGAGGTCAACACCTTGACAATATCCCAACACACAGTGAAAAGTTCTACTCAGACCTTTTACTTTTCTTGCATTTTCTGTAACAATTACATTTTGTCCCATTTTCTGGAGAAAGGCCATTGTCCTCCAATCTTTCTTTCTTTCTTTTTTTTTTTTTTGGTTAATATCAGTTGTTACACTTTTTAATTTCCAAGGACTGTTTTTCTCTGATGTCCTTGGTTCCAATTCCTCAAAGAACATCCACTATAATTATCTTGAGCTTCTTTTGTACCCTGCCTTGTCTTTCCTTGGTGTTTTGCTATTGTTGTGGTGGTGGTGGTTGGTGATTGTTTTATTCTATGTAGGTTTCTGTTTCATGCTTAGTATTCCCAAAAGTGCCCACCAAACCCTGGGTGTCAGTTCATATTTAGGGGAAAACACAAAAGGCTGCTGGAAATTCTGTTTACACAAGTGGGACTCTTTGCTGGGGGCTTCTCTGCTGATGTGATCAAGGAGTCACAATAGTTTTTTCTGCTGAAGAATGGCAAATAGAAAAAACCCTGGTCTGGCTGCTGGCTCTGATGTGTAAATAGCTGGAGTGGGGCCTGGGGTGCTTCTGCTGGATCCCTCTCCCCTTATTTCAGCCCAGTGCTTTTCTCATCAGTTCTTGCAGGGCTGAGACCTACCTCCTATCACGGGCTGCTAGGGAAGAGGGGGGCTGCCTGGTTGCCAGGGCAGAGGGGATGGCATCTGAGGTTCAAACCACTCCATAAACAGACTTTCTACCAAGGGCCCTGCTGCCACCTGCACTTCACCCTCCCTCTCCAGGGACTCCAAGGTTGACAATGTCAGCTCCTCTGGGCTGCTCCTCCCTCCTCCCTCCACAGACACTGAGCTCCTTCCTCTAGCCACTTTCCTGCTCAAAACTCTGCTGACATCTCTTGTCCACTGCTCAGTTCCTCTCTCCTTGTTTTGTCCTTGGTTTTAATGATTTAAAGGGCTCTTTGCCTGTTGGGTTAGCAGGGTTTTGTGGAAAGAAGAAGATGAATACACATGGCCACAAATATACCGACTATTTTTGTAAGAACAATAGAACAAAATGTGAATGCTGAAAAGCCACATTTCTTGAGTTATTATTTAGTCCCTCTTTTGTCATATATGTGTCCAAGCATTAAATCCCATGTATTAAAATCTTTATTTGTCCTGAAACATAAATTTGAAAATAACCTGGAACTATGACATAATCATAAAACAATTTTCATTCTTACTTTGCAATAACATATAAATCCTTAACAATCAATTATAAAAGGATTAGAGTTCCAATCCTAAAAAGAGAAAGTAATCCAAATTCTAAGAATTTTACCAATCACTAAAATATTCCAAATAATAAAGAAAATCATAAGCAATCTAGTGAGATTTTTTTAAATGAGGTCTTTCTCTTACCTATTCATGTTCCAGTAACAAGGATACACATTTCACAGATGGCATTGCAAACTCAGTGTCTAACTATGGCCTTTCCAGTGCCTACTTCTACAGCTGCAGGAAATAAGATGTGGACACTTCATACACACACATAGACACACACACACACACACACACACACACACACATAAAATTCATACACATTTCAAAATTACTCACTGCTTTGAAAATAAAAACAATTTTATAATTGTTTTTTATAAACTGTTTTATAAATAAAAACTATTTTAATCATTGACATAAAAAAGAGATTAAGTCTCTCTTAATGAGCTACTTTATACATATTTTGAACATCTAATAAATCTACCCTAGGGTTATTTCTTCCCCTGAATCATGACCAGTAACTTTGAGCAGTTCATGTTCACAACTGAATTTATTCAATTGATCAAGTCCAAAAAAATTTTAAGGTGTCAATCTTTGATTGTGTTCTTGATTTCTTCGACTAACAGTATTTTCATTTCCTACCAAATGTAACCATGTAAAGTCAATTTAAATGGAAACTTGCGTTCCTGTTTTGTCTCTGCTTTGCTTTATTGTGCAGTTGCAGGTGTGTCTGGGTATGTGTGGTTGTGTGTAATTTCTTTGAGCAGTAGATGCCTAA